GAGAATTTTGTGCAGTCTGACTGGTGCCGCTATGAGCTTGACTTCTCTCACTTCTGGCTTTTTGATGGTCAAGCCACTGGTGAGGCAGCCATTTTGATCCTACTAGAGCCATTGTCCAAGGATGATGTCCCCAAACGCTTCTACAAACTGCGCAAACTGATGAGTTCCACCACCTACCTAGAGTGGCCACAGGAGGAAGAGAAGAGGGAGGAGTTCTGGAGCAGTCTGCGCAATGCTTTGAGAGGAAACGATAACTAAAAGAGCAGAATATAATAAAGAATGAGAAGAAAAAGAAAGAGTTGGACAATAAGGGATACAAGAGAGGGATAAATAAAGTCAAAGTAAAGCTGTAGCATCTTAATTCACTGATATCCAAGTCATCATTACTGAAAATCACAACCCTAGCCCCAAACCCCAAATTTATTCCTGTGTTTTGGAGAAAAGCAAAAAGGGTTGTGGTTGTTACCAGTTTCTGTCAGTCCAAGGAGGTGGCCTCCTCCACCAACTAGGACATCATTGTCACTAGGGATGGGAATTGATAACAATTTAGTAATCCCAGTTCTTGTTTCACTTATCAATCTCATTGTCTCCAATGTGAGAGTCACCACCATCTCTAAGCAGCAAATCAAAGACATTAAAATCATGCTAATTAATTACATGCTGTATGCTCAAATGTTTGTACATGTCAGAGCCTCTTTGTTGTGATCAGTTTTGGGATCATTACTCGAAAAAAGTAATTATTGCACATATTGCAAAGAACGCTTTTCTTTAAAGTAATGCAGTACATTACTTCATTACAAACAGGATAAAGATGTTTGTTATACTACTCATTACTTTAATTTTACTATTTAAAATTATCTGAAAAACACGTTCACATTATTACCGTTCACAATATAAACCTGAGGCTACAGCCCTAAACACCAACACAAATCCCTATCCTGATGACCAGAGATGGGCAGTAACGCGTTACTTGTAACACGTTACTGTAATCTGATTACTTTTTTCAAGTAACGAGTAAAG